TCGTCGTCACATATGATGAATATCACCGCGAATTACCTACCTAGTCTAACGGAGCTGACGAGCAGGAAATGCTAGTGGATTAGCAGTGAAAAAGCAACGCCAGCCATGACGTGGGCGAGGCATTGGATGGCGCTGCACTGCGCAGTCAGAAATTTTCTTCACTGTATTAGTTTCGTCACCCCCTGCTCAATGCCAGGTGCCTCATTCCATCTACCTCCAAGGCATATCGTCTCTTGTTTCGTCTTGCTTCCTTCCTCTGATCTTCCCCTGATGTCTCAACAGCATTGACACCGCGCTTGTCTCGTAGCTCTCCAGTCGAGCCAAGAATAGACCAGACGTGGATAGTTGGTTGGGTTATACGTTCACATCAGTGCGTGCACCGATGAAAGTATCAAGTATCCCTCGTCATTACTCGGGAGGAATAACCGAAGCCCTGCCGCTGCTGTCGAAGCCTTGGCTAAGCCAAGGCGACAAGTGTATAACAGGCTGCCGCCCGGCAAATTCTGAATCATGCAGAATTGTCCAGGTGCTAGCGTGCAATAATGTGGCATTTCTAGCCGCCAATCATTCATGTTTCGAGTTGAGTCACGACTGGAATGAGGTGTTTCACGATAGTAGACGACACCAGGGTCGCTAGTGCCATACACCGCTGGTGATGTTTAAAACAGCGGATCGACTAACTGGGATATCTCCAAGCAGAGATGAACAACATTCGACGTGAGGTCCACAGGCCAGGGAGCCAGCAACTAGATCGGGAAACGAGCATGTCAGTTTTTAGCCGACCTGGGCGATCCGGGTAACATTGGCAGGGAGGGATTGCATCTTGGGTTTCTGCTCGGATTGTGCAGTGTAGGGTAGTATCATGAGTAAGGACGGCGCTGTGGAGCCTGAGACTCGATTCGGGGACCGAGCGCAGGGTTTTTTCATTCTCGTGCCACTCACTCACCATCACATCGCATTCATCAACGCTCCCGGCTCACCTTCCGGGATCACGTCGACTGGATAACGCTGATAAAAATACGTCACCGCCTCCTGGCTGACTCTCAGGATCATGGGGTTGAAGCAGGCCCAGGTGGGCTTCCAGCTGCCCGTCGTCTACAGCATCTTCTTCCTCTTCATTGAGCCGATCTCGGCCCTCGTCGGCGCCTTCTACAGCCATTTCCGCCAGGCCCGTTATCTGGAGCTCCTCAACTCAGCCTCCGCGCCCCAGGCGGGGGAGCCCGTCCCGCTCAGCACCTCCGTCGCCATGTCCCAATTGGCCAACATGTACCTGTTCTTCGCCCTCAACGAGGCGTTCGTGCTCCGCGCGTCCCCGGACATACGCATCTGGAGGGCGGTTCTTCTAGTGCTCTTGATTGCGGATGTCGGCCACTTCTACTCCATGAAGGACCTGGGTCCCCAAATCTACTACGATGTCGGCAGCTGGAACGCGGCGGACTGGGGAAATGTTCCGTGGGTGTACATGGGCGCCGTCTTGCGCCTGTGCTTTCTGGGAGGAGTCGGTCTTGGAAAGTGGAAAACTTTAAAGACTCTTTGAGCAAACGGATAGCTTAATATAAGTTACATGCACACATCCACCCCGTCCGGCCCGGGAGAGTCCTCGATCCCGGTCTGGAGGCAGCTCGGCATACTTGATCTGGATCACCGGCTCCTTCAGCCATCCCTAGCAGATAGAACGGATTATAGAGGGGCAGCCAAGCTCAACAAGTTATCAAGAAGAGCAGCTCAGTTCATCAGCCCTGAAGTCAACGTCGGAGAATATGCGAGGCGAACGGCGATTCTGTTTGGTGGAAAAACCACCGAGAAAATGGAGTCGAATCGGGCTTACAGTCCCGATACGACCCCACCACCTCAGAATTCTCCAATCCTGGGCGGCCCGCCCGGTGGTCTTCTCTCATAGAATCTGTGTAGTTCCACGTGCCTTGGCAGACGAGACGGGCACTTGGAGAACCCCACCACCTCAGAATGCTTCACTCTTGGGCGGCCCGCCCGTCGGTCTTCTCTCACAGAATCAATGTAGTTCCACCTGCCTCAGCAGATGGGAACGCACTTGGAGAGGCCTAAGAACGCAGAGGGTGGCAGAAGATAGGACGCTTGCTCGCCCGGGGCCCCCTCATTTGTCCCTTTCAACGCAACGAGACCCAATGTGGGCGACGGTTGGATGCCCCTCATCATGGTGGGGGTTCGTTCGGTGTTGTGACCCCATCTCCTCTTTTCCGTTTCGTGTGCTGAGCTCGTCGAGCTGTCTCGTCTACGTAAATATCCCGTCGTCTGCACTCTCGTGAGATATTTCTTTCCTCCTCTTCTCCCGTAAGGTCCTCGTGCACTCAATTCGCTTGTAGATCCTAGTACCCAGATTACCCCCCCTGCCCCATTGACCTACACTCCCCGCCATGTCTTATCCCGAGAAGTTCACGGGCTTCCAGGCGCCAAGCGCTGAGAAGTACCTTGAGTTCGAGAAGAACTCTTGGGCTCCCCGTCCGTTCGGTGACTATGATGTTGATATCCAGATTGAAGCCTGCGGGGTCTGCGCCAGCGATCGACACAAGATCAATGGCGATTGGGGTGACTCCCCCTACCCCCTCGCCGTCGGCCACGAGGTCGTTGGCAAGGTCCTCAAGGTCGGGCCCAAGGTGACGCTCGCCAAGGTCGGCCAGCGCGTCGGCGTCGGCGCCCAGGTCTACTCCTGCCTGACCTGCCGCCAGTGCAAGAACGAGAATGAGACGTACTGCAAGCAACAGATTGACGCCTATGGCGCTCCCTACCTCGACACTGGCTTCATCACCCAGGGAGGATACTCATCCCACACTCGTATCCACGAATACTGGTAATTGCGATCCCCCCCAAATGATCCGTATCGTCCTCCAGCTAACGCCGGGAAAAAGGGTCTACCCCCTCCCCGAGTCTCTATCCAGCGCCAACGCCGCCCCCATGCTGTGCGCCGGAATCACCCTGTTCAGCCCTCTCAAGCGATTCGGAGCCGGCCCCGGCAAGAAGGTCGGCATCGTGGGCATCGGCGGCCTGGGCCACTACGGGATCATCTTCGGCAAGGCCCTCGGGGCCGAGGTCTGGGCCATCTCGCGCACGCGGGCCAAGGAGGCCGACGCCCTCAAGATGGGCGCCGACGGCTTCATCGCCACCAACGAGGAGGGCTGGAGCAAGCCGCACAACATGACGTTTGACCTCATCATCAACACGGCCAACTCCTTTGACGGCTTCGAGCTGAGCAACTACCTGAGCATGCTCGACATCCACGGGCGCTGGAACTCGGTCGGCCTGCCGGGCGGCGGGATCAACGTCCGCAACCAGGACTTCCTCGACAACGGGTGCTTCATCGGCGCCTCCCACCTCGGAAGCCGGAAGGAGATGCTCGAGATGTTTGACCTGGTCGCTGAGAAGGGTCTCGAGTCGTGGGTGGAGGAAATTCCCATCTCCAAGGAGGGGCTGCAGCTGGCCATGAACAACCTTGGGGAGAGCAAGGTTCGCTACAGGTCGTGCATGGTGGGATACGACAAGGCATTCGGGGCATGAGGAGTGGATGAGGGAATGTATGGGCAGAATGGCACAATCACGGAGCACCTTGATGGGCAACATCACTGCTCCATATAACACGTGATCCAGCTTTCAGACTCATGGTGTTGTATGTACTTAGGCGGAAAAAATACTGAATGAAAATGTATCCTAAATGTATATTTCGTAATGTGTCTTGCGATCATATGCGTGTAAATGAAGCCAAGAATTACGCTGCCAAAGCAGACTCGACCCCACATTCGATGAGCACAACAAGGGGAAGTTGTTGATCGAATCAAACTCAACCATAAGTGAACTCGCAATCTATAGCATATTTTTGCTAGGTTTATGACTCTTTTTCTCTTTTCTTGTTTTGCATTTGTCACCGGTGCAAAGGTGAGTGTGCCTCCAATCTGGTGCGTCACTTACTTGGCACCAGTAGTTTTTCTCGACGAGAGTATTGGGGCTGAGTTTGCTCCGCATTCGACTTTCTAAACGAGAGAACAAAAACTGAATCAGCTTTCAAATCCATTTACTGTCGGTGGCTCCCGTTGTCGGAGTCGAAATCTGCGTGGTATTCACACCGAAGCAAGATGGAGGGATTAATAATGGCGGATGAGTCATGCCGAAATGGTAAGCAACCTTCGTCCAGGCTGAGTAAATGGATGCAACGCAGCTAGACGGACAAAGTGACTAGCCCATGTTCAGACTGGCAGGGCTGTCAAACCGCCCTGTTTGAATAGTGATCCAGTTCACGCGCGATTCACGGTGCTGCCTCGTACAATGGCCTCACTGGTAAGGCACATGGACGCCTCGCCTCTGCTATACGAGGAATATGCATCAATATCTTACTTACGCTGAGTTTGGTACCAATGAGCCCCATGTTTGGCTACCCCGTGTTAGTTGATTGATGCCCTCAATCTCGCAACCACCAGCTCCACCGAACAGGCTCTTGTCTGGTGGGTGGCCATGTGGGTGTGCATCCTGCGCTCTCCCCTGGATCGAGCTGAGCGAAATTCTCGCTTCTGGGCGGCCAGTGACTCCTCGCTTCCTTCTAGCTTGGCCCGGCTTAGGGAGCAAGCCGATGACACAAGCGGGACGAGCTTAACGCTCATTCTTGCGAAATCCAACCCCTCGAGGTTGTGACTGACAAAGCCTCGTTCCCGACGTGTTATTATAAACTGAATAACCTCCCCCGGGAAGTAGAAAATGGCTTACCTACCCACTATACACTACCTCTTCCCCCCCTTGTACCCAATCATCTGGTCTTTAAGCTTATTGTTCTTCCTTGTTCCCTGCTTGGATCTGCTCCCCACATCTTGATACCGGAACCTGATACTGCCAAAGCCGACTTACACGCTGCATACCAACCACGTACGTTCAACCTAAGTAGAGAACATAGAGAGACAAGTTGCTGATAGGCAATTCAAAGGAAAATATAAACCAGTCCCACAAACAAACCGGTGTAAGCGTGCTGTAGCAGCCTCCCAATGGACCGGGTATCCCTCTCCCTCCGGTGCCGCCACGCCTGCGCCCGCTCGGAGATCACCCACGTCTCCTTGACCGACACGGCCGCCCTGGCCGTCTACGTCTCCCCCCCACCGGCATCCCTCTCCTGGGTCGACACCTTCTCCCTCACCCGCAAGCCTGGCAAGCTCGCCTCCCTCTCCAAGAGCTCCGGCTCCTACGGCGCCTTCCCACCATCCATCGCCGCCAGCAACACCACCGTCTACGCCGCCCTCAAGGACTGGACCATCCGCGTCTCCGGCGGCATCGAGTACTGCCACTCCAGCTCCGTCCTCGTCCGCGACCTGGACTCGGGCAAGACCCTCCTGGAGATCAAGGACGCGGGCCGCTCCCCCATCACCTGGAGCCGTGACGCCCGCCTGGTCGCCGCCGGGGAGGCCAACAACCCCGAGCGCATGGGCATCTGGGACGCGAAGACGGGCGCCAGGGCGGGCAGGGTCATCTCCCACATCGACGCCGTCACCCACGCCGCCTTCGCCCCCCCCTCCTCCTCTGCCAGCACCAGCAGCACCCTCGTCACCCTCTCCCGCGACGGCACCCTGAGGATCACCGACCCCCTGACCTCCCGCACCGTCGCCAGGCTCGAGCTGGCCTCCCGCAACCCGCGCGCCCTCGCCGTCGCGCCCCACGGCAACACCATCGTGAGCATCTGGGACTCGTCGCTCTACGTCTGGCACCCCCGCTCCGGCGACCTGACCTCCTACGCCCTGTCCGCCACGCGCCAGGCTGAGGGCTGGCCCCTCTGCATCTCCCCCGACTGCCGCTACGTGGCCTGCCGCACCGAGGACGGCTTCGACCTCATGGACGTCTCGTCCGGCGTCGTCGTCTTCGGCATGACGACCGAGTCCATCGTCACCGCCGCCGCTTTTTCTTCCGACTCTTCTGTTTTGCTTTTGGGGAGGATGGACGGCATTCTGGAGCTCTGGGATATTTCCGAAAAGGGTTCAAACTAATAACACTGTAAGATATTAACTAGGTAGGTAATGAGAGATTGTTAAGCGTATAGGTTGGGAAAAGCGAAAAGGGGGAGGCATGGTATCATTCAATTCAACATATACCACTGTTAGAAATGTATATCTTTAAGTTGGGGACTATGCTTATGATGGAAACGAAGATAATGGATTCATATAGCACTAGGGATTTGCTGGCAAATTTACATAATCACATGCAAGGCTGTGGCGCAACACGTAAACAAACATCATGATTATTTGCATGCGTGGCTCGTACATCATCATTCTCCCCCGGTGTCAGAATCGAGCACCTTCGAATCCGCCAATGTGTCTCTGTTCACCGGAATGCTGGGTATTTATCGCAAAATAGAAAACGACCGACATACGCCCCCCAAATGCCCCGATTCCAATCCAACTCTGTCTCATACAAATGTGGCTCCTAGACAGCCGCAACATTCCAACATCTCCATAGCTCCACTCGCTTGCTGTCGTAAATAAACGCTCCTGGTATCCTACTCCTGAAAAGAATCTGCTTGCCTATCCTCCACTGCAATACAACAACCAAATGGAAATGACCGCATTATATACTTTTGTTTTCAAGACATATACCGTCCTGATGGGAAAAGAGAACTGCTATGTTCAAATGTAACTCTCACCGTCTTTATAAGCCCCAGCCGAGCATCTCGAGGGTGCCCCTCGCCTCGGAAGCCGACATGCCGCTCACGCCCATAGAGCGGGCCATGGTACCCTTCTTCAACCTCTGAAGGCCTACCGACAACTTCCAGCTCTCCTCCTCGTCAACCACAAACAGGTATCTCTTACCCTCTTGATCACGCATCGTTGCACGGAGTACATGCAAGCCCTTGGATTTCCACTCCCCGGTCTGTCCAGTCGAAGATGGGATGTTAGTATCTTTAAAATTTCGTTCGCAAAGTCCAAGGCGACAGCACTCACTGCACGCGCGCAGCATCTCGGACAGATAAGCGTCACCCTCCTCGCCGTGAAGCGTCTTGGTGGCACCTCTGTCCGTTTTGCGCGCGCGTGAGTTGGCTAGTTTATTGAGCAAATCAGGGGGATAATTCGAAGAAGCAAACGAAGCAGTGGATGAAGCAGATGATGATGATGATGATGATGACGCATTTAAACAGTGCTGGGGGCACCATACCTCGACGGACTTGAGAGTCCAGGCCTTTACGTCCCACTCTCGCTGTGGGACGCCTCGGACATCGTCATCGATGAAGAGACCTTCGGTTGTGATACGCAGGATCAGGCCGTCTGTGACGGTTCCGACTCCCGAAACCAGTTGGCTGGCTGGCGTTTTGGAAAACTGGTTCATGAATAGGTAGACCGCGGATATGACAATCTTATCTGGGTCTTTGGTTGTGTACGGACCTCTCATCGACGGCGGGGGCGATGTTCGAGTGGTGGTGTGGGATTGTGCCCAGGATGATTCGGATCCGGTGAATGAAGACATGGAGTTTTTCCTCCCTGGCCTCTTTTGGTCATTAGGCCTACTAGAGTGCCCGTCGCCACTCACATTTGACTTGGCCGTTGAGGGGGCCGGTTTCGTGTTCTGAGCGGATGTCGTGGTCTTCTGTGCCGTAGAAGCAGAAGTCGTTGATGCCGGGGCGGGAGGTCGTCCGTTCGGCCACATGCTAATTTTCTCACCTACCCCGGAGAAAGCGTAGCTGCCGCCTCGTCGAGTTGACCTGGCCTCTTCCGCCTCGGCCTCCCTCTTCTTGGCTTCCTCCTCCTCCTTCTTCTTAGCCTCCTCCTTCTTCTTGGCCTCTTCCGCCCTCTTCCTGGCTTCTTCCAGTCTCTTCTTAGCCTCCTCCGCCTCTCTCTTCCTGGCCGCTTCCACCTCCTTTTTCCGAGCTTCCTCCTTCTTCTTGGCTTCTTCTGCCTCCCTTGCAGCTTTCTGAAGACGTTCTTTTCGCTCTCTCTCTAACTTCTCGAGCAGCTCCTTGGCCCTCAACTCTGCCGCCTGTTTCTCTTTGGCCTCCTTGGCTTCCTTTTCGCGGCGTTGCCTTTCTTCTTCTCGAAGCTGACGCTCTTTTGCTTCCCTGGCGCGAAGCTCAGCCAGTCGTTTTGCTGCATCCTCGCGGCGCTTCTGTTCAGCCTCCTTGGCCTTCCGCTCCTCTTCTTTCTTGCGGATCTCTTCACGTGCCTTCTCCCATGATGCTTTGACATCCTCACGAGTCCTCTCCCAGGCCGTCTTGGCCTTCTCCTCCCTCGTCGGGGGAGATTTGGGTTCAGGCTTGGGTGGAGGTGGGTTGGGCTTCTCTTCTTTGGGTGTGGGCGTGGGCGCAGGCGTTGGCTCTGGTTTGGGAGGTGGCGGGGCCTTCTTGGGTGGTGGCGGTTCCTCCCGAGGAGGAGGAGGAGGTGCTTCTGCCTTCGGCACTGGTTCTGGTTCAGGTTCCGGCGGTGGCTCTGCTTTTGGAGGAGGTTGTGGTTCAGGTTCAGGTGGTGGGGGTGGTGGCTCTTTTCGAGGTGGTGGTGGTTCTGTTCTCGGAGGAGTGGGTGGTTGTGGAGGAGGCTCTTTTCTTGGAGGAGGCTCTTTCCTTGGAGGAGGTTCTTCCCTTGGAGGAGGGTCTGCCCTCGGCGATGGCTCTGCCCTGGGGGGTGGTTTTGCCTTGCGAGACTCTGCTCTTGGAGGGGTTTCTGTTCTTGGGGTGTGCTCTGGTTGTGAATGTCGCTCTTTCCTGGGAGGAGGAGCTGGAGGAGGAGATGGCGAACGCCTTCGACGTGACTGTCGAGGGGGGGATGGCGAACGTCGTCGGCGTGACGTCCGGGGAGGTGATGGTGAACGCCGCCGAGGTGGCGGTCGAGGCGGAGGTGGAGGGGACTCTGGGGGAGTTTGCGGGCCAGCCTGATGATAGCGTGGCCCACCATCACGGCCGCTATCATGGCTCTGATAGCTGCCACGAGGTTGGCTGCTGCCATGAGGAGGAGGATTTGGAGGACCACGATTATGTCCATGAGGAGGTGGGGGCGGAGGGGGACCGTCCTCTTGAGGAGGAGGCGCACCCCCGGGATATGCTCCCCGGAAGCCAGATGAGCCTCCGGGGCCGCCGAAACCTCCTTGGGGTCCTCCGTTGAAACCTCCTGGACCTCCTCCGTTTCCGTTGAAGCCTCCTTGGGGTCCTCCCTGACCGCTCGATGTGCTTGGCCCATAGAAGAACTTGGACCTGTCTGTCTGTGTCCTACCCAGCGACCAGGCTCCGAACCCAATGCCCAGCATCAACATCGCCATACCCACGTTGCCGAGACCTTGAAAGCTTTCCCACCAAGTCCTAAAGGCGGGAGCCATGCTTTGCCCAACGACAACCAGTATCAGGGCGGAAGCAAACCCGGCAATGAAACTGTTGGCGTTGGGCTGCAGTGATGGGAGGTACAGAAACCCAGATCCGGCTGAGTGTTCTGGGATCACAAAGATGTCATATTTCCCAGGGGGCAGCCCCGAAGACCTGGGCACTCCCCCATGTGGTGGCGGGGGAGGAGGTGGTCCGTCCATTGTGACCCTTCAGCCCTCCGGGACCGAGGAAATGTTCTCGAAAATCCCAAGGGTTGAATCGTATCATGTATCGCCAGGCCGGTCTAGGAACGCATTGGGGACGCCATGGGCGGTCGTGAAGTCTGTGAGAGGGCCTTGATTGGGGTCAGTATCCGGGATTCTGAAGAGCTGTTGGCATGGCTGAGGCTGGGTCCTGGTAAGGCAATAGGGGGTGCAACGAAGTGAAGAACGCACAATGCGGAGGACACAAGTACAACTGAATGTACAGCTCAGAATACCGACAACAAACACCGGGTGTCGGGTTGAATTTGAAAAAGTCTGTTGGGGTTTCTCAACCGTTGATAGGCGGCGTTGGTAGTCAGGGATTGCCGGAGGGCTAGTAGCTGGAACGTTGCGTCTGGAATATCTGGGTTGGCCGTTGATGGAAAGTGGAATGGGGAAAAAAAAGGCTCGAGGGGTGAGGGAAGCTGTCCCGTCTTGTTTACTTGGTGCGAGGCAACAACAGAGCACCACTGGGTGGCTAGGTAGGATCTCCACCAATCGCTGCTCTAGTGGCCGTACTACCTCTGCAGCTTCCCCGTAGGCCCGCTCCAGTTAATTAAGGCCAGCTAGCGCACTATTGGCTGTGCGGCGCGCTGGAGAAGGGGCGAAAGGGGCCCATGCGCTCATTTAACCACTGAGCTGGTGTAATGGAGGGGCGGGTTCATGTGGGCGCACCGCCTCTGAGGCATCTCGGCGCGTGGCAGATTCCTCATCTCGCCGGCTGAGGCTTTGACAGGTACAAAGCATGCTGTGCGACGAAGCCACCGGCATAGGGCTCTGCGCCATGGCCCGCGGTCTTCCATAAGAAATCCTGGAGTTTCCTCTCAACCCGGCGTCTACGGGTGGAAAGTGGCTATAGCAGCGCTGTAGAAAAGACCCTGACCCTTCGGTTCGCAGGGACAATTAGGAGGGGAGGGATGTGCCTGGCAGAGCTCTAGGCGAGACGGTGAGACAACGGCGCTTGCCAAAAAACCGGGAGTCCCACACTGCAGCCTTTTGTGCCGCATCAGCGCAGCCAGCCCCTTTCTAAATCAACGCTTCTACCTAACCCATCTACATCTATTGGTGCGTTCAAAGATATATATTTATTTTATCATCGAAATTGATCTCACCTACTAACTTGAATCAAATGTGTTCGCTAATGCCCCAAACATTTACAATAATCCAGCGCCAGTAGACCTTCAAATGCCTAATTTTAAGAGTCTGATCCAAAATTAGATACATTAGTCCCAGTCCCCGCAAGCAGTGTGAACAGAAGAGGGTCATCACTAGACACAACAATCGTCATCGCCATTCTGATCGCCCAACTGGAAGTAATGATTTCAACTTGATTTGCCTCCTTGCTCACCGTAATGGATTTTCTGAGGCCAAGATGAAAAATCAAACATTTCAATGTCAATATTAATAGCGGTGCGTCTCAGTGTATTAGAGATGACATCTTGTATCCGAAGAGGTCTTTAGGTTTGAAGACCTTGGGA